CAGTACATGATGGTATCAGTATTGTCTAAACAAACTATAAAATGTAGCACCAGTAACATAGGTTGATAATGTAGTATGCTTTGAATCGGTTGCTAACAGTAACAAAGAGTTTTTTTATTGATTGTCTTATTTGTCAATTCAGCATCGTTTTGAATAATTTCAAATAAAATGGATGCAGAGATTTTGAAAAAAATCTCTGAAGCGACGGCGAAACTTATCCCGGTCAAGTCTTCCGGACGATATCAAAAGGAATACGAGATATTCTGTGAATGGCGCAAAACTTATAATGTTATTATATTGTTAAAATATACCAGTCCGGTAAAGTTACTTTACCGGCCTAGTAATGTAATGTATTATTTTCCGGACTCAAATGAGTCCGGGAAATGACACATTAAAGTACAGTATGAAATAAATAAAATTAAATTAGGCACTTCCCTGCTGTATTTATGTATTTTATTTTATTAACCGACCGGTTTCGCCTTACGGCATCTTCAGGGTTTCTACAAAAATGGTATAAAGATATGCTAATATAGAGATTTAAAATATTACTTACACGTCAATATTATAAAAATATACGTTTAACAGACATTAGAACAAGTATAATTAAAACGTTATTAACTTTTACTAAATTTTATTTTTGATTCAAGCTTTAATTTACAACATTTTTAATATGTTTTAATTATACTTGTTCTAATATCTGTTAAACGTATATTTTTATAATATTGACGTGTAAGTAATATTTTAAATCTCTATATTAGCATATATCTTTATACCATTCTTGTAGAAACCCTGAAGATGCCGTAAGGCGAAACCGGTCGGTTTTTAAAATAAAATACATAAATACAGCAGGGAAGTGCCTAATTTAATTTTATTTACAATATTAAAATCCCACTGCTAAAATGGATTATACAATTAAAAATATTAAGTTTATTTCATCACCATAATGTTAATAATAAACCAACTTAATCCCATGAAATTCCATAACTGTGCAATATTTCAATATTACACTATGCGTAAAGTGAAGTTTATTTTTCTATTCCTATTACGGAATTTGACCGTTCTAATATCACTTTTATCTATGGAATGACATACCTATATTCCGTAAAGTGTTACAGAATGAAATATTTTATCATCGGAAGACAGAATAAACACTCGTGGCGACATCTCTGTTTTTAATATATAACAAATTTTAGACCGATACAACCTCACTTTCTTCCAATTAAATTATTTTGCTATGGTATTTTTTGGAAACGTAGAAAAAGTATAGTTTGAAACACTTTTGGAATTGCATATTCCGATCTCGTGAAACCGTCAAACTCGTTACAGAATATACTATTAGGTTCAGTTGTACAAAAAAGTCGTATTGTAAAATGTATCGTTTCACAGTAAAATTGCAATTTTATTTCACTGTAATTAAATTTTATCATATTTTCCATATGCCCTCTAGTTTGCTTTTTTTAGAAAATAAAAGGTTTGCAAATGATGTAATCATTTTTTTACATTTCAGCCATTCCACGTTTCTCGGTAATTTATATATCGTCCGTAATAATTCAAAATTATGAGTAAAAGCTACCTTAATTAAATTAAATACTATTGCAATATTGCAAACATGTTTATTATGCTTGTAATAATTACGCTTAAGCTTATAAGCATACAAATTGGAGTAGTTTTTACTCACATTTTTTATTATTACAAACGCTACAAAAATTGCCGAGTAAAGTCGGTTTTATATAGATGCGAAATGCGAAATGCGAATTTGGAAATACGAACATTCGCATTACGCAACTCCTATTTCATATAGGTAGATGCGAACTATTTTAGGGACATTCTTATCTCACTAGGCGATAATTGTCATCTTATTTAAGCTACTTAAATAGTAAAAGTAGTTAGTGTAGTATAAAGTAATATAAAGGTAAAATAAAAAACAATTTTTTTTTTAAATTTCGCCAATTCAAATGGACCAATAAAAACATTTTTCGCATTTCGCAACTGTATGAAACCGACTTAACGTGGAATTGCTAAATTTTGAAATTAACAGTTACCTAGTTTAAGAAAATGTAAATATAACTTTTTGAATAAATTCATTTCAATTAATTTATAGCAACAAATTCACAATGTTTATTTTGAAAAAAAAACTATAATTTATATAATAACGATAATACTTAAATATATTTTACAACAGAAACTACACAAAAATATTTTAGACAATAAAAATTAATTTAAATTATTAGACGAGTTGCTCGAAATGTTCAACGCCAACTTCGATACATTTCCGACTTTTGCGAATTAAGGAATTCAAAACCAAAGATATCTGTTGTATATTTTGCCTCATTTCGTTGCATGCCAATATAATTCCAGCAATAACTTCGTCCCTTGTTCAAACTGCATAAATCTAGCGGGATAATTAATATCTGGAGATCGCAGTTACCATGCTACTGGATCTAATTAATAATTTTTATCGAGACATTCGCGAACTATTTATCCAACTTTCACCTCATCATTATTACTAATAAAATGATAAAAGGATGAGTTCAGTCTACTCTCTTAAAATTAATTAGTCAAAAATAACTCATAAGTCATATTTGACTAATTGTCATAGCGAAAAAGCAGTGAATAATTAGTCAAATTATACTGAATAGAATAGTCAAATTAGTAGATTTAAATTTAAAAAAGTTTTGACCCAGCTGGGGATTGAACTCAGGTATGTCGTTTCTCAAGCTTGTCAAGCTGTTCAAAATCAAAATCAAAATCAAAATCAAAATCAATTTATTTGTAAATTAAATAGTTACATAATATAAAAAGGGTAAATAATAAAGGCCGTAATGTGGTGATGTGGTTGACTGTAAAGAGGCGCGTGGAAGTGTGGTTCCACCTCTTGAGCCTCCCTGCGGTGAAGATGCGTGGTACAGGTGGTAGCAGCGCAGTCTTCCGACGGTCTTTGTCCCTTGTACATGGAGTTTGTCTGGCCTTTTCTCGCAGAGCGAATGTGAAGCCAGCTTGATCCGGGTAGAAGAATAAAAGTCTTGAAAATTGGCGGAATAAGAATGTTGATGTTAAAGAATTTAGAAGAATGTTTTCGAGGGAAAAATAAATCAAAAAACCCTCTTAAAAAATTTGGAAAAAATACACAAAAGATAAAGAAAGAATAAAGAAAAAAAGACCTGCAGCACCATGGTACTACGGTTGGATTTGAAGGGGATGTTGAAAGTCTGGTTGGAGATGTCTCAAGGTCGAGAAGCTGTTGTCATAACCAATGTGGCTATCAGTCACTCCTATTTGAGTACATTAGATGCAAAACTCGGTTTTTGCACATTTTTAAAAAATATATATTTTATCTTATTTATGTTCATAACTGCACTGCCCACAGTATACCTAAGTAAACCAGATGCATAAGTTAATATTTGTAGAATAAAATACATTTATAAACTTACCGCAGCTGCAAAACTGGGTATTTGTTTCTTCCTGTCGGATGCAAAACTCGGTATTTGACCAATCACCAATCACGTCGCTAGTATACGCATTAACTGACGGCATAACAATCACCTGATTAATTGTTATTTTTTTGGTATTTGCACTTTTCACTTGCAAAACTTGGTCTTTGAACGAGGAAGATGCGAAACTATGTTTTTAAATCTTTTGATTTCAATTATTTACTAAACTACTTAATTTTAAATTACTTTTTTTACTTTTTTGAATAAGAAATGATGCAAAAGCACGTCTATACGATTTTTGTATTTTTTTTTTCAAATATGACCTTATGAGCGGTTTTTCGTGTTTTTCTTAAAATCACTTATCCTGCAAATACAGAGTTTTGCATCTAATGTACTCATTTGTTAATAAATAATGTTCATATTATTTTAAAGTTAAATATATTATTTGTGTTGCTGTTTGAGCTAAACTTTGTTTGTTTTTATGGGCCATTAAACCATGGAGCATATATGCATTTAATTCAAATAATACTTTTTTGTTGTCCGCAAACGATTAAAGAAATTAGTTACTTTTAACTCAGAAATAGTCAAAGATGGTGACTAATCTTAAATTAGTCAAACTTTAAGTATTTTATTAGTAAAAAATGCTGGTACTAATTCAAATAGTAGAATTTTTACTATTTTATTTTAAGAAAGTATAGATCTTGGGGGCAAGAAGTAAGGCCCACCAAGATTGAGATCTATGAAGCCCAACCAATCATTGACCGACCTCATTTTGAAATGGCGAGAATTTTCTTGTGTCCAAACACGCAAATTCTGGTAGTTTACTACTTCTCTCCTAGTAAACGAAGCTTTATCAGTTAATAACATTTTTCGATGAAATCTATACAGAATTCAGTAACCAGTGACAAAAAATCAAACGTTTTTAGCCTCATCGGGGTGCAAATTTTAGACGGGGGTAAATGGAAAGCTTTTAAATGATTTTTATCCAATGTTCTAAGAATTCTGTGCTTCTAGCATTCTTTGGTTTTCAAATATATTATGTTTTAAACCAAATGCAGCTCAACAAAACTTGATATGATGCCAGGAAAACGCCTTCAATATTCTTCACCAACTGGTTTAGCACTACCGTTTTAAAATCCATTATTTTATCTAAGCAAACCAGACGGTACATGATAAAAATTAATTTTAGTGAATTGCAATTCACAAAATAAATACTGTCGCCCCCGTAGTGACGCCACTGCTTGTATAAAAACCTAATAACCTAACCTAACCTAACCTAATAAAAAGAAAACTGATCAAATTTCAATAAAATATGTTGTTTAGCTTTGGAAAAATTATTTAAAAAAAATATGCAACTTCAATATAAGTTTATGAAGAAAATTAATAATATTTTAACGTTTTTTATTGATTCTCCAATTATTAAAGGTTCTTTTTCAATTAGAAACCAATTATTAGGATAGCCGGCACAGAAAATAGAAATCACTTTTACTACTACTTTAACTTTAACTACAACATAACTCTTAATACATTTTTGTTTAAATTTTTCTTTAAAAAATATCTTAGACTTACCTCTAGCTCTGGGTTTGGTGAGCAATTTCTGAACGATATTGTCATATGCAGATTCCCCAGCCACCCCGGAATCCTTAACGAGCTTTTCTTTTACAGCAATACAGATGTTATATTCACCCAGCAGATCTTCGAGTTCCTCAAAAGCCTGTAAAAAAATAAAATTTATGTTAGGTAGTCTACAATGTTAAATTGAAATCCTTAATTTATTATCTTATATAAATATATAAGGCAGCGGAGACTCATAATTGAAAATTATGATATAAGTTTATAACTTTGATCAATTTAATTAAAGGTTACTTTATGGCTTGTTTTATAGTGGAAATTAACTTTTACGTTTATTATTTAATTAATGTTTTATGAAAACACTTCTTCAATTTGATTATCGCCATAAACTCAAACACAACCTACTTATTATTATTTTCGGTTATTTTTAATTTTATTTGTTAGAATAGAAACGTTTGCCAAAAATTATATATTTTTAGTGTTAATGCAAAACGCTGTTATTTTAATCTGTATTTTTGGCTTTTATAAAACATGGCCAGTGCACTCAAAACAAAAAAGAAGATACTTTTTAAATAGTAAATAATGTTTATTTACTCCTACACTGACAAGCTGTGACTTTATGGCGTTTTAGTCACGGGCTGAAGTTAGCTGTATTATAAATTGCGAAAAAATGAGGTTAAATTCATGAAATTTCATATATTCATGAATTAAAATTGTATTATACAACTCGTTAACTTCTCTAGACAATCGTTTTTTATTAAACACTCGCTCGCAAGCTTCGCTCGTGCCTAATGAAACACGTAACTAAAATGGCATTTATAAAACTTAATACATAATATAGGTACTATTAATTCTTACAACTAATGAACAAATAGAATATTATTATACACAGAAAAAAATCTAACATCGTACCAAGGACAGCGCTGTCATTGAATGCATTAAAATTGAAGCAATCTAAATTGTTATTTGCTCAATTAATTACTATTAAACCAAAATAGGGAAATATTTAAATAGTAACGTTATTAAATAAATCAAATTAGTATTTAATGCAATAACATTCTAACATTCTAACAAATAAATATCAATATGAATCAATCAATAGATTTAGGAGCGATAACTTTTGTTGTTAATTTAAAAACAGTAAACGATTATAAACCAAGTGCTAACTACCTATTGGTATTATAGTAACTGTTATTCAGGAATACGGATTACAAGGTCCCATTTGTTTAATGGCTCACCCATTCATGCCATGCTAGCGTTTTTCCTGTGTATGAGAGATAATAAGCATAATTTTTAGTGTAATACTACTCGTAATATATCTAATCCAATAAGTAAATAATTCAATAATTTTTAAAAATAATTAGATGAAATCTGACATCTGTCAATGGTTAATTTTACTTTTTACCAATTTTACATGTTATTTTACTCGCCTTTTCCCAATTAAAAACCCCATCACTTATGCCTAACAACGGGAATATATTCCCGTTGTCATTATAATGAGTTTCCCGTTGTCATTATAATGAGTTTATTATTCCCGTTGTTAGGAGGGAGTTTATAATGTTAATTATATTCACAAAAAAATTATGCAATTACGCAATGTTTCAGCTTTCAATAAAAATTTAGTACAATGAAGACAATGTAAAAATAAAATTCGAAAGTTCAGCATTTAAAATACATAGAACGTAATATTGTTAATTTGTAGAAATCGAGGAATTAACTTATAAATCCCTAAAGAGACTCCTGGCAAAGGCTAATCTGGGACTAAAAATAAAATTAAGGATTACGGGTTTTCGAAGTTGTAAGAGTTAATTAGTCAAACTAAGAGGTTGTTGGAATTGAATCAAGAATAGTTAATTACTTTAATTTTATAATGCAGTTGGCAGTAACAACCTAAAGTTTTAATTCGCATGGCTGCAACGGCCACGTTGACACAAGGATCTAATTGCCTTTCCATGTTTGCTTTTCTTTGTTTGTTATTTATAATTACACGCTGACAATCCAATTACTTTCAATAGAACATCAAATTTTGATACCCAATTTAAAAAAACTAATTTACAATTGAGCGTTTAAAAATATCAATATGTGCAGAAAATAGAAATATTCCCCAACACCAAAACAAAACACATAGTGCTTAAAGTACTTTTCGCCAACGATGTTGGCATCTTCAGAACTTCTCTAACTTCCTTAATAGGTTTAATGTCAAATCCTATTCTATAGAATATATATGACCATTATCAAGTATATGTTGGGCAACACTCAATTTAAAATTTGTAACCTAAAACTCAAAAAGTTTATAAGACCATAGAAAAAAAAATGAGTTAACTTTTATAAACCCAGCGATGGTTTTACCTAATAAATAGGTATACTTTCAGGAAAAAATATTAATCTGTTGTTTTTGAATAGTGTTAATATATTTTTAAACAGAAATAATTTACACAAAAACTCGGATATTCATAAATTTAATACTTGCACAACAATTCCAGAGGAAATAAATAACACCATCAATTTTTAAATATAAATCTCTTTTAAAATCGTATTAGTTGTTTAATTGTTTGTATAGCATAAGTGAGTTTTTAGATATGTAATGGTAAATTATGTATCAAATTTGATAAACGTCATTTTAGTCACGAATTTAATTTAGATGTTCACTTGAATGAGTGCACTCATGCAGACATGTCTAAAAAAATTTATAAACGAGTTGTATATTATATTGTTTCTACGACAAATTCTAAAAATGATTAAAATTAAATATTTGTATGGAGCGACATATTAAAAAAATATAGAGTAAGTGTACAAATAGGAACCTGTTTTATCGGCAGCAAATGTTAAAGTTTATCCCTTGAAAATGGACTAACAACCGTTTAAATCCAATAAATAAGCTGTTTTTTACAGTGAAAGTAAATAGAATGTTTTATGGGCACTCCAGGGTGGAGTGGAAACTATTTAATATTTTATATTAAATATTATTTTACAAGGGCATTTTATTTTAACGATTGTATAACATTTGACAACTGTCAACTAACTTAAAGCTAACTTCAGCCCGTTACTAAAGTCCCATGTATTTAAAATATCACTTAGGGTCATGGACGCATTAATTAATTCTTCCTTATGTAATTGTTATTCTGTAAGTATTTTTTTACTTAAAATGACGATATTTGTACATGTACAGAAAATAAATATAGGTACTATTATTATAATTATACTACACAGAAAAGTCAAGGAATAATAATTATTTAAAGGGGCAAAATTAATATTAATGAATATGTAAATAAAAAAATCTGTTTCTAAATACTTTAAATTTCTTTTACCGTTATGGAGTAAATTACTATTTTTTCGAAGTTATATAATTACACTACATAGAAAAGTCAAGGAATAATAATTATTATTAAAAATTAATATTGATGAATATGTAATTAAAAAAATCTTTTAAATTTGTTTTACCGTTCTGGATAAATTACTGTTTTTTTCTTAAAAAAAAATAGATAATATAGATAAGTACCTATACGTATACACCGCATTTTCATAGGCGACGATTCATATTTTCGAGCGTTTTAAAATAAATTATAAATTATAATTATAACTTAAGTTATAATGTCCTACACATATTTATATAAAATATATGGGTTTTTGTATACATATTGTATTTGTATTATTTTTATTTCATTTCATATTTTTTATGAGGACCTCACGCCTTTAAAAGCAACGTATCTAGTTTGGCGTGCGGCAAATGAAAATTTTAATTTAATTAAATATTTTTTTTAATATAAAATTTTATTTTTAGGTATGCACTTTAAGAAACTACAATAGTTAATTGTAAATTCACATCTACAAAAATTTATTTTTCCAACCAATTTTCCACCAATTTTAGTTTAAAGGCATTGCGCTGCAAAAATCCCGAAATGTCGGGGAAATATCTCTGAAGCATCGCAAAATATCACGCTAAGCCGTCCAAAAACCGGCACAGCCTGAGCCGCTCAGGTCTAATCTGAAGATACTCAAATAATACAGCAGCAGCAGCAGGAGCAGCTATTGCGAACATTGCCAACCGCCAGAATATACTCTCTTTATTTGTCTAAAGCGATTGTTGTTTCCCTGTTTCGTTTTCTGTGATTATTTAAAACATATATATTATAAATAATATATTATAAACAATAAATACATTAAGGTAGTTGTCGTTCTGTAAGCATACCATCAGAAAATTTTAAATTTTCCTTAAAATTTGAAGTCGATTGACCGTCTATAACCCGAGATAAATTCAATTAAAAATTGGATAATTAACATGGATTGTATAGGCTTTCTGTAGTTCTGTACCAGTTTCTTAGTTATACAGAAAAAACTAACTGTCAGAAGCTTTCAAAAAACTAACAGTCTTTTAAAGTATTTTTGCTGAGTTTAAAAAAAAATAATTAAAAATTTTTGACCGTCCAATTGTTTATAAATAACCGTTTAAAGTTTAACAATTTGTAAAAAGTATGTATACATCACTAGTGTCAGATAAAAACAACTTGGCAACGCTGTACGCGAGTATAGATATTATTTCCGCAGTAAATTCGAACGGACTGATACAGTCTCCAATATATCTATTGGTTGAGCATAAGCGACGTTGCCGGATTAAAACTTATGAAAATATTTGAAAGTATTACGTAAAGGTGACGTCTCCAGGGTACAGTCTTGCCAACAAATTATGAATCACTTAGCTACAAGCTCGTATACTTTTACGGTGCGTATAATCTAAAAAATTTTGACAATATTGTACCACGACAACTACCTTAAAAGAAAAAAAATATTTTAATTAAAAATATAATAAATATTGTTGGACTTATTTGTATAATACATAGGAATTCTTCAGTTTTGCATTTTTCTTTATTTCTAATGACATACAGGAAGAAGCTGGTGTTGACAATCAGGCGATTTTAGACGTTTTATGTTTTTTCTATAATTTCTTCAGTTTTTGTAATCACTCTTTTACAATTATTTATTCATAGAGCTTTATTTTAATATCTTACATAAACCAAGCCCACACTTCTGTTTCAGAGTTTTTAGAAGAAGACGTAGATGGTTATAAAATTGTCCCAGACGTATATTTACTATTCCTTTCTGCCTATTTATTTTCGATATTAAAAACTAGCATTCTTCGCCTAG